TAACTTGGGTCCAACAAGCATGTAGACTGTACGATGATGACACCTATTGAATTGTAGGCTGCGATGGCTGCGACACACGTTAATGCAACGTCAGCAGCATGCGCTTGTGGTAAACAAATACCGGTATGTCAAGATGGATCGCGCTTTGGCAGTTGTGCTTTTCATGTGCGCTGAAACGAAGAAGAGGCGCCAGCGGAAGAGGGCAATATGGATCTGCTCATGGCTCGGGAAAAGAGGACAACTTGGGATGCCAGTTTTGCACAGGGAGATTGGCAGCTGCAGTTCCTCCGCTATCTCTTTCCATGCTATGTCCTTTTTGGTGCGGTCATGATAGCAGCTAGTGGACACATCGTACAAACATGCCCTCTGCTGCCACAACTCAACAAGAATTTGTTCTTTACGGGTATCCCACATACCAGTATACCTTCTACTTTTTTTGCCGCCATGGCATTGAAATTGTAGCACCGCTGGTCGCGTGGATCAATACGTCATTTCCTGTTGCAATTTCATTGGCTGCTGAGTAGACACAGATCGCTGAAGCAAACACACCATGCGTTGATCATGCTGAATTTCTGACACTGTCAGAAAACTATCGTAGGTATCGTCTTTGGTTGCAAGACCGGGAAAACGCCTGTCTTTGAACCTCTCTCACTGTACGACATAAGACCACCGATTAAGAGCCACAATCACAGAAATCGCCACGATTGCTTCACGATGGCAATCTTTTGTCTGGGACAGCCAAAAATCGTGCAGTGTATCCCAGGCTTAAAAGAATAGCTCCCCTGAAAATTATAATTCTGTCATCTGTCTACTTTCCTTCATGTTGTTTCAAAACTGTTTGACTGATTTTCTTCTGTGAATCACAAAAGAAGATATTTAAAAAAATGTCTATGTGTATTTTTGTCCATACAATGAAAGTCAATGTGTCCTGGTGTTGTTTTAGACCCAATTGACTTTCATTGTATGGGCAAAAACCTTTGAAACATTCATTAAATGGTCTTCATTTGTGTTTTGATTCACAGGTACAAACTCCAACCAGATTTGAAAGTAAATTGCAAATCACTTTTACTAGGGATGCATGGTATACACTAATTAAAAAGTAACAGTAAAGTGAAAGTAACATTTCTCATTTTTATCAATGTTAAAAGCAGTTGTGCTGCTTAATGTTTGTGTTTTTTTTTCAGGATTCTCGGAATCTAAAGTCCAAAAGAAAAGCATCTGTTCTAAATAAGTCTTTTGTAACACAGCAAATTCCTTTTGATCAATTAAATGCATCTTTGCTGATTAAAATTACTAATTAAATTTTTTTTTATCAATGAAAAAAATCCCTGAATTTTTAAACTGTACACTGAATAAAAAACTTTTAGGAATCTAAAGATTTACTTGATAAAATCCTCGTAATAATTTGCACTAACACATTTAAAGTAATTTAAAGTTTCTGCTCTAATATCAGTTACAACTTACTTGCTATTATCAAGTAAAATCTACTTAATACTGTACTTAACCTTCATGAAGAAATTAAATCTAATTGCACTCTAATTAAGTAAATATTACTTAATTATATTTAATTTAGAAGTTGTGTTCCACTTACCCTAATCAAACACACCTGCACAAGTTAATCAAGGTCTTCAGGATTACTAGAGTTACAGTAGGTGAGTTTAATCGAGGTTGGAGCTAAACTCTGCAGGAACATGGACCTCGAGCACCAGATTTGAGAACCTCTGGTCTATACCTTTATTGCAAATCACACAACTAAAATACAATTAAACAGTTTATTTTTCCAACATTAACAAAAATGAATGAGTCCCAGTCAAATTACCTATTAAAGTCTGAACACAAGTTTTTTAAAGTTCATTCAGTAAAGCCTCATAAAAAGTGCCGTTAATCCATTAATCAAACTCCGCTGGTAATATTTGGTCATCATGAACTGCATTTGCTGCACCACACACAGTTTTGACCCCAGGAGGTATAAAATATTAAAAATAAAAAATTACTTAACAAATAGAACAAGATGAGGTTTTAACCTCGTAGGATTGATATAACCAAAACTGCATTCAACATGAAAACCATCAGTCTGTCTTCCTCCCCACACCTCAAGCGTCCACTGTATCGGCTCGATGTAAGAGTTCCTGTTGATAGAAACATGTGTTCATAAGACTTTGCTTTTTTAACCAACCAATTACAGTTTGTTTGAGCAAAAGAAACTATTTAAATGGCAAGACCGGACTCGCATGAGAGTCTTTACACTTAAATGTTCAGTTAAATTGAATACCATTATAAAGAACCATAAAAACACTATTACTAAATTCACACTTTTCAAAATTAATCCTATAAAACATAATCACTGGTGTCAATAGGTGCTTTAGGGTTAGGTAGTATGTTAGTTTGGCATAGCTACAAAACATGACAATTTATGAGATTAATACAATGTTATTGATCTAAACTCATTCTATTATGTCAGAAACAGTGCTTTGTATTGAAAACATTTTCGCTGAAATATCACTCACTGTGACTGCACGCAAGTTAACTTTAATGAGGTTGTGTGATTAAAGGATTAGTTCACTTCTGAATTAAAATTTCCTCATTTTCTCACCCCATGTCATTCAAGATGTTCATGTCTTTCTTTCTTCAGTCGAAAAGAAATTAAGGTTTTTGAGGAAAACATTCCAGGGTTTTTCTCTATATAGTGGGGTTCACTGGGTGGAAGGTCCAAATTGCAGCTTCAGTGCAGCTTCAAAGCGTTCTACACGATCCCAGACGAGGAAGAAGGGTCTTATCTAGCGAAATGGTTTAACCTCAAACGCTCATCTTGTCTAATTCTGCGTGAACTCTGTGCATTCTGGTGTATGACAAGGTATATCGAAAAACTCCCTTCTCATTTTCTCCTCCAACTTCAAAATCGTTCTAAATGGTCCTACATTGTTGTTTTACCGTTTTTTGTAAAGGGTGTTTGACCTTCTTTGCACGTTCACTTTGTAAACTCTGGGTCAGTTCTTCTGCAGTGATGTAGGACGATTTTGAAGTTGGAGGAGAAAATGAGGTGGGAGTTTTTCGACCTACCCTAACTGTTTCGAATGGGACTGCACAGAGTACGCATTCGCATTACAGAGCTACACAAGACAAGCGTTTGAGCTTAAAAAGTATATTTTTATTATTTTTTAGAAAATGACAGATCGTTTCGTTAGATAAGACCCTTATTCCTCGTCTGGGATCGTGTAGAACGCTTTGAAGCTGCACTGAAGCTGCAATTTGGACCTTCCACCCAGTGAACCCCACTGAAATCCACTATATAGAGAAAAACCCTGGAATGTTTTCCTCAAAAACCTTAATTTCTTTTCGACTGAAGAAAGAAAGACATGATCTTGGATGACATGGAGGTGAGTAAATTATGAGTAAATTTTAATTCAGAAGTGAACTAATCCTTTAAGATGAACGTTAATGTATAATTAGTAGGGTTGGGTATCGAGAACCGGTTTCATTTTAGAACCGTTCCAAATTTCCAATAATCGGGTATTTGATATATGTGCATTTCGACATGTGCATTTCGATTCCGCTTAATGATTCCCACATTTGCATTTTAATGTGATTTTAAACTATTTAAGTGCAGGAAGGGAAAGAACTTGCACACTGTTTGCGTGCAGCGCACACATCTGAAGCGCGAGCACAGAGAACAGTGGTCCCGATGCAGGTTCCCGACCTGTGTCTGTTCTCGAACTGTTCCGTGCATTTCCACAAAGGTTGTTCCGGGCCAGAACTGACGGAATCGATACATTTATCGACCAGTATGCACGAAATGCGTCAGTATATCATCATAAACACAGCAGTTTTTTTGTCTTAAGTGAACGTAAACCGATGAGAAAGAAAACGCATGTGTGTTCGGTGTTATAGAGACAGCCGTCTAATAAACGTGCTGCCTATCATTAATGTTAATCAAAGAACAAAAGAAAATCATTAACTGACTGAATATCTTTCGTAATTTAATGAGGATTAATCAATATTTTATTTATGAAAAGAAAACTATACTGTGTTTTTAAACTTTTGATTTCAATTTCTGTACCTGACATTTGTTCAGTTTTATTTATTTATGCTATTGCTAATGAATTTGTTTACTTGTCTTTAACAATTTAATGTTTGAAATTTATATTAGTCTAGTTGTTTTTTTTTCTGTGGTATTTTTTTGATAAAACCATAGACATAAAACAGAATTAATATGTTTGACATCTAAATATTTGACTTAAAATTTGTTTAAAAGATTTTTTTATCTTATTGGAATCGGAATTAGGAATCGATAAGAATCGGAATCGATAAGCAGAATCGGAACCGGAACCGGAATCGATAAAATTCAAACGATACCCAACCCTAATAATGAGTCAATAATAAAAGAATCAAACAACTGAAATGCACTGACCAATGTATTACAAATCAGGAATCTGAAACCGAAAGGCAACTTACCTTAAACACGAGAAAATCCAGCCATGCATCACCTCCATGACAAGTCCAACCGTCCCTCACTGATTCAAAGCGCAGGTAGAGTGTCTTGTCCAAACACGCATGTGCGGATTCAAGCGTGCTATACTTTGATTAAAATGTACTCAGTATTTTTAGATTTATGTGCAATGACTATAATACCTGTACAGTAAATATATTACAAGTAGAACTTATGATGGTTAATTTAATATATTTTGCAACACCACAAAGTTATTCGTTTAAAAGTACTATTTAAAAAAAAAACCCCAAACTTTTTAATGGTAGTGTAGGTGTTTTCAATCAGATTATTACCTTGATAACATAGCAGATGTTCAAAATTCATGTTTAATGGTCTTAATAAAGTAATACAACTTTTCCATCAAATTGAGTGTCTTTGGATCTTTAATTAAAATTTATTTAACTTAACTTGTAGTCTATTACTTGTTGGATTTAAGTCCCAGGTAACATCTTAAATGAACTAACTTAAATTTCAGAAGGATTCATGAGTACATGCCACGCAGGATCTAATGATCATCTAAGACAAAATTACTTTCTGGAAGTGACCATAGCATGGATTCAATAACTACAGTGGGGCAAAAAAGTATTTAGTCAGCCACCAATTGTGCAAGTTCTCCATTTATAAGACCCTCGAGTAGTGCCAGCTTCCCATAGTGCCCTTCAAGTCCGCAAAAAGGTTGTTTGGAATTCGTCCAAGGTTTAAACGCCACCAGCCAGACGTCTTTCAACATGCACTTAGAGGCTGTGCATTTCCTGCACCACCTTGTGGAAAACAACAAAATGCTGACATTTAGAGTTAAAGTAATTCCTCTTTTTTTGGCTTGAGTACAAAGAGCGCTTTGCATTAGACCTCTGCGACGGGGGTATTAAGTCAGCCCCGCAGTAAAGGGGCACAGGGGAGCATGCCCAAGATCCTGGTTTGTGCTCCGCAGCGCTCCCACCTGCCACCTCAACTGCTGTTTAATCCCCCTCATGCTGGAAGTCATCTGACCACTGTTCTGGTGCCACACTTCTCTTCAATGGCCCTCACTTCAAAAGCACAAGCTCATATGTCAGAGCCCAACTAGTAATACAACACCTCTGCACACCCCGCCCCCCCTCCCCCTGCATGCTCAGCTAGCAAAACTCGGCCTGAAAGATGGAACAACATGGCATGTTGCTGAGGCAGAGGTTTACGAAAGATAGGGGTCAAGTAATAGTTGTGATAATACACCCATATGGGGCTGCTGGTATCTTTCAGAAATGCTAAAAACTTAAGCCCTCTAATTCAACAAAATAATCTGATTGATAAGCTGATACTGATAATTATTTTCATGACATGGCCGATAACCATTAAATAGCCAAAATTGAAATTCTACACTGTTTTGTATAACAACTAAATAAAACCAAGAAAATGTATGGAACATTATAATGTAGTATAAAAATATATGATTTACATTTAACATGTTATTACATTATTAGTTTTTTATAAAGATGAATTTAAGTTAGTGTTAGATGATGGCAAAGATAATCTAAATGTAAAAATAGCATAAATGAGCATCACAATTAAATATCCAATATCAAATGATATGGATAAATTAAAAAAGTTGTATATAATCTAATAACCCATATGATACCAATACACTACTGTTCAATATTTTTTAAAGAAATTAATGAAATTATAGACATTTATAATGTTACACAAGATTTCTGTTTCAAATAAATGCTGTTCTTTTGAACTTTCTGTTCATCAAAGAATCTATTTTTCTATTTTGTAAAACTATACCACGGTTTCCACATAAATGCCAAGCAGCACAATATTTTCAACACTGATAATAAGAAATGTTTCTTGAGCACCAAATAAGTGTAACGAATCAGCTCATGGGAAATATGAATAATTAACCATAACTAGTTATAATTAATTATGAAAATTTTAGATCCGCTGTAGATATTTAGCTGACCTCTCAGGGTCAACTGTCTTGTCAATTCTAAGAACACACACCTATGCTGGTGTGAATTAGAGCCTTTAATGACCGTTCTATATTAATGCGCTGCTTACTGATACACACACACACATATAAGAGATTGCGCCGCTCACACATCCAGGAGCAAAGATACTTGTCAACGCTGCCCCACGACTTTTATTAATAACAGTTTAAATACAGAATCGCTACATTATATTTTCCAACAACAAGAGGATAAAATTCTGTTTTTGAAGTAAACTCACTCTAAAAAAGAGAAACGCACAGACGCGCATACACGCAACTTTCATCTCTCTCTCTTTCTGTCTCTCTCTCTCTCTCGCTCTGGCAATATTTGAGAAAATGGTTTAGCGATTTATAATTATTGGGGGGACTAGCCCCCCTCAATGTCTATGGTGGTTATCGCCCTGATCAGACATGAAAATATGCTGTGGCACTATCGTGCAGTCTGTAATGATATGACGTTAGCAAACTTTAGCGATTTTTTGCAAACATTTCTTGGAGTAACATGACCGTAAATATGAACTCACGATTGAAAGTAACATAAAACAAATGATTACTTTTCGTTAAAATCTTTATTAATGCCCAAAAATGCTTACATTTATTTGTCTTTTTGTTTGCTCGCGCAGCCATGTTGCCGCTGAAGCCGGTTTATGCTGAGATAATTCATACC